TTTTTTATGTATACATTTATTTACTCATTTATTCATTCATACATTTTTATATGTATTTATTTATTTCTATACTTGTTTCTACAATTATATTGTTATTTATTATAGTGTTTTATTTATTTATATATGTATTTATTCATTTTCATATTTCAGTTTTTGTTTCATCTTCTTTTGTCAGTTATATACCCCTTAAAATTTTTGACATCATGTTATAATATTGCTGTTAATTGTATTTTGTTTTATTAAGACTCAATCTGTTAATTTGATGTTGTTTTTTTTCCAAATAGAATTCACAAAATAACTTCAGCATAATACATTTCACAGCATAATGCAAATGATATTTGACTTTTTTGGTTCCATTATTTCAAGGTTTTGTACACATTCTCTTAGTGTTTCAGCAGTATTGCATTTGAACTGTATGAATTTTATCAAATCTTTTGGTTTACTTCCTCAATAGTTAAATAGGTGTTTGGCCCGTTCCTCCAATGACAATGAGTCTGGTTACTGTCACTGGTTAATTGCACACGACCACCTTTATTATAAAACTCTTGTATGTGTTTTGTGAACAACATACTTAATTTAGTCCACTTTGTCTTACATGCAGAGGAATAATTTGCTTTGCTCCATGTGCTTTAAGAGAGAGAAAGCTCTCTCTCTGCTGTTAGCCGCTAAAACCCATGGCCTGGTTGAATGAAAAGGCGAATGTTTTATTAGCATGATCTGGGATTTAGAGACAGCTGCTAAACATTGATAGAGCCCTGGGCTAGTATTGATGTATGTGTGCATGATGTGTAAGCCTCTATGTGTGTTTTGCTCATTGTCATCAGAGCTGAAAATGCCGCTTTGGAGAATTAAAAAGACAAAATCAGGGTACTGACAGCCTTAAAAGAAAGTGATACATGCAGTTTACTCTGTTTCTGATCCACATTCTTAGCACATGTTCACACACACACACACACATGGATCGTTTGCTCTTACTATTAAATTTGAGAGATGATTAAACACAACAAACTGGACGCAACAGACAGTGACAAACCCTAAGACACTGCTCTCCAACATGTTGCATCCCCGCCCCTTGTGCTCCTATGTATCTACATTAATTAAATCTTATTATAAAAGGTCAGGATCTTATCATATATTTAATATTTGTGTATTACAGTCTACCTTCTCTTCATTGATATCAGAAATGCCAGGATGCTTGTAACAGCATTGTTGTAGCAACAGGCTTTAGATTGTATTGCAGCAAAGAGGTAATGCATATGTTATTTATGAGGGAATAGACAATAACCAGACAATAACCAAATGAATAAGTAATAAAAAAAAATTGGACTTGGAGCATTAAAGAACATGAGGCTTTGTCACTGATTCAAATGCTATACGTATTTTATTGATTTATTTTTTAAATCTATTTCCTGTTAAGGTCTACAGGGTGTCAATTTTTGAAATCTTTGTAGTGTCTTACTACTTTCTGCAGGGGAATACAGTCCTGTTTGTCTCATCATTCAAGGACAGTGCTTGATGGAAGCGATATGGTTCACTGTCCATGGTAGCTTCAGGCCACAGGGTGATATTTGGAAAAACCAAAAAGAGAAGGATTTCATTTATGCCCTGAACCATTTTTGTCTATTGATTTTCATGTGCAGGCAATAGGAAGGTTTCCCTAAAAAATGTCCTCGTTTTAATCATTATTATGAGTTTTAGTTGGTCTATATGACTGACAAATGACATTGCAGTTGGTGTCTGTATAGCACAATTCAGTACGTGGACAATTAAAAGTGCTATACCTGAATTAGACAATAAAATAGAAGAAAAATAAAAGCACAAGAAAAATAATTGGACCACAATCATTTTCCATAGAGTTACTGCCTGCTTTGTAATTCTTGTAGAAGTAAACCCAACTGTAGGCTAAACAGCTAAACCGGTGTCTTACATCTACCTCTATTCATGTTCTTAGTCCAGTGAACCATTGGGCTGGTCTGTATGTCAAGTTCAGGGCTTGACAAAAGTACAGGCCAGAGCCAAATAACGCAACATCCCCAAATTGACGTCAATTCGGGTCTTCGTTTGAATTCACCTGTTTTATGGTGGAAGTTTAGAATTATGAGATTTGCATAGAAAGGAGGTGTTGATGGGGTTTGAACTTCTCTGTACGTCCATTTCACCCACTGAACTATCGTTATTCATCTATGACAATCTAAACTTGGTTTTGCATTCTATGACCCCTTTAAGGTGCAACTGTACAGATGAGTCTTGCCCAGGGTTACTGACTCCCCTGTGCTGTGCCATGCATTTGTGTAGTTGTTTCTCCAGTATAGGAATCTGATCAGTTCTTGCTATTCTGGACTAAAACAGCCTTGTTTTTTTCTCTTACTTATTGATTCAAATAGATTTTATTTCTTTGAATCCAATACTATGGATTGTCTCGCTTCTTGAGCAGAATTATTGTGACATCACATGCGTATTGGAGAAGAAATTCCAGTGTACCATTGATGGAAGAGTCACACTGCCAGCAATCACTGGAGTGATTTGCAATAAAGTACAGAACTTCTGGATGAAGATGAACATTGCAAAGTTTAGGGCCCTAAAGTTTTACCCAAAAAGGGTGGATGTCCAAATTTGGCTCAGTAGTTAAAAAAAAAACATCCATGAGAGGCTAATATCAGTCTGACAAAAAAAAAAAAATTTAACTATAATAAAATCTGGATCTTTCCACCTGAATAATATGGAATATGTTAGTAAAATCTCACAAATTATAAAATGTGCAGCTTCAAAATTAATAAAATGTTTGAAAAATATTTAAAAGAAAGTCATTAAATTGAATGTCATATTATTGTATACTGAAAAATAATAAAAAATGAGCTAAGCCTCCCTGTCTGTTTTTCCTCTGTACTTAAGGTGATTTTGAGAGGAGATGAAAACACATACACCCTCAGCGACCTCAGCCCTTCCACCGAATATGAAGTCCTGTTAACAGCCATCTTTGATGACGAATCTGAAAGTGACACAGTCTCTGTTATAGAAACCACATGTAAGTGTCAATACTGTCAAACAATCTGATTTTTCAATTACTTAAACGTTCTGCTCCAATGCCTGATAACTATTCCCTACTGTATAATGCCCCGTCCACACGAAGCCGAACCCTGGCCTAAACGCACAAATTTTTCACCAAACCAGCCTCTCATCCACACGAAGCCGAACCCTGGCCTAAACGCACAAATTTTTCACCAAACCAGCCTCTCA